TTAATAGGATATAAGGATATATAAGGTTTATTGGAGGTCTGTGGAAGTGTGTTAATGTCTTCAAAGCAGTATGCAGCATGTGAGTGATACTAGACCGCACTTAATTTGTATTTCTGGTACTAGAGACAAGTTTGAAGTCGTTAATGTGAAAGTCGAGTAATCGTTGGAAATTTCGGTCTTTGGAAAACTGTTTGGGGGAAAGGACCGCTTTTGGTATTTAAAATAAAACTGTTAGGGGGAAAGGACCGCGCTGTAGTAATGTGGTGGAGAGTTTAATAATTGCGTGTTACGCATGTGGTACAGGGAGAAAACGATATGCAGCAAGTACATAACACTTGTGTGTGTGAGGTTCTACCTCGAGAAATACGAAGGCAAGATCCAGCGATTCATAAGTGACTTCAAGAAGCTTGATGTATCCGATGAAAAGGTAGGATTCTCGCTGTTTCTATACACATTTTCTAAGCACATCATGATGGTCTGTAAGAGGTTTGTGTCCATGCTAACAGCGAAAGGTGCATTCCTGTCGCTACATTGTTTTACTTCTCCATGTCTACATATTCAACATGTGAGATTTGGTAGCATAACTGGATAAGTAAATAGACAATATGTTACAGCGTTTTTGCTCTATGTTTCAAAAATATACTTATTTGGTCACCATATTGTATTTTGTGTTATGACAGAAAGGCATGTTAATACGTGAATATATGTTTTCGTTGCTGTGATATGTTTTTTTCTCGCCTGGCAGACGGATCTTGTTGAGCAGTTTCTCAAGTACATGTACGAGAAGTTGGAGCAGGATCCAACATGGCAGCATTCGAACGAGCGACAACTAATGGATGCACAGCAGGCCGTAGAACGAAGCCTGATGTCACAAATCTACATCTACGCCATTTATCCAAACGGCGACGGTGACATTCTGAGAGATCAGTAAGTATAGTCCTGTGTGTGTTCGTGTGTAATATATAGGTCAGTGGCTCCGATAGCAGATTTGTCTCGATTGTGAATGTTTGTGAAGAAGTCAGTAAGATCGTGAAAGTGTGTGCCAGCGAATGTGTCGAATGTTTGTGTGGTGTTATTTTAATTCTGTTTTGTTTTGGCATAGGTTGCTCCAGGAACACATAAAGAAACTATCAAAGGTCATAACACCAAACCACAGAGACTTGAAAATAAACAAGGTAGGTGTAATTTTGTAGGTGTTGTGCATGGGTTGAATCTGATGACTAACTATGAATTGTTGCCTTATCTGATAATTTATCCCTTTTGTGTGACTTACTGAACACGTTATGCAAATGTATTGTGTGTGAAATTGTATTAATTCTTCGGTTTAGGTATTCCTACACGAGTGCCCGTGGCCATCAGCACAAGCAGAAATTGTCACTATCAACGCCTATAAGGTATATATACCTAGTGTCCTACCTACTTATTGTTTCCTATACCATCTTCTACATAGCAACCTTGACAGGTAACCTTTTAAGGGCCATCCATCTTCATTAATTACTAACAGTGGTAGTCGGGGAAGCAGGAACATCAGCACCAAGTCACTGTACATTTTTAACAGGGTAACTTCAGCCATTCCTGTAGTGCAATTGACAAAGAAGGGTGTGAAAGTTCGAATCCCTCCCTCACGCCCGTGAATCTCTTGCTTTGGGTTTAATTATTTTGGGGTGAATGAAAAAAATAATTTAGTTGCAGGTGAATGAAATTTTGTGATAAAGACTCGAGTATGAATGACATTGAAATCGTTTAAGAAGCACTGGCTTACGTAACGAGTGTGCCCAGCTTCCCTGCATCAACCCGCCACCGCTCGTTCTCAGGCCACAATTAAAAAAATCTGTGTTTGCCCTCACCCAACTCAGGCTAAAAAGTTTGCGTAGGTAGGTAGGTTTTTTTGCGGGGGCGGGGGGTCTTTTTACAAATTCAGCATGGTGTTTACATGCTCGTGAGTGGAGATACTTTTTATGTTGAATGTTTGTTTTGCTTGGTACATAATATATAATGTATTGCCTACAGATTTATATAATGTACAGTGATACAATTTGTAAAAAAAAAAGAATGGGAAGGATCGATAACATTTTTTGAGTCGGCCCCTTTTTGGCAGGTCGGTCGGGTGAGGGCAAACAAACATATTTTTATTATGGCCCCACCGATCTCACGCTGCCGCTGCTGTTGCAGACGCCCAAGGATAAACTGCAGTGTGTCATTCGCTGCTGTTCGACGATCATGAATCTGCTGAGTTTGGCCAGTGACAAGTCGGTCCCTGCTGCCGACGACTTCACTCCAGTCATCGTGTAAGTTGCATCTCCGTTGTCATGTCGTCGTGCCATAACTGCAGCCAATCAGTTGCGCCGTCGTCATGTCGTCGTGCCATAGCGGCGGCCAATCAGTTGCGCAGTCGTCATGTCGTTGTGCCGTAACTGCAGCCAATCAGTTGCGCCGTCGTCATGTCGTCGTGCCATAGCGGCGGCCAATCAGTTGCGCAGTCGTCATGTCGTTGTG